CGGATCATAAGTCACGTCGACGATATTTGTGTGGATAAGGAAGAAAGTGATCAAAGTGTTGGATGGATATATTTTCAGCTCGTTCACTCTCCCTGCGATGGATTGTAGGGAGGAAAGTAGCTGAACGTACTCTCTTTTGGTAGGTCATGCTGGGCTTATACAGGGTGATTCAGCAAAGAGTACATTAAATTGGAGGATGAAATCCTTGGATAATTCTAAACCACAATATCTCTATGGTAAAATGACAGATCCTGCATAGTTTCCATATTACAATACATTTAAGATGTTGTATTATGAGAGTGAATTTGAAGTGAAACGCCCTCCCCCTGTGACTGTCTTTATCTCAATCGGTCATACACGGTCCATCTGTGTCACGCTGTACTATTGTATATAAGACATCTGTGAATAAATGATTACAAATACCTAGGGAGGGTTTCACATCAAATTCACTCTCATTAATACAACGACCACGGCAGCCGTATGTCTGGGTTGTCGTAAGTCGAGGAGTACCTGTACATCAAAAGATAACTAATCAATCATACAATGTGCTCATTAACAAGAAACTCCCCATACTCTGTTTAATATTAGCTTCAAATCTTGCATTTGAGTGAAAAGAAACTCAAAGAACTAGACTGTTTTTAAACAAACACAGTAAAATCTCTTTAAAGCATACCCCACTAAGGCAGATATAGCTTAAGCCGGACAAAATTATTTGCCCCCCAAATAATTAAAATTTAAAATAATTAAAAAATTTAAATAAAAACAACAACAAAAAAATAGGACAAAATTTGTCCTCAGATGACATGTCCATCTTGACCCAAAATTTCAAGAGACCAAGGCATCAGAGCGTGGGAAACAGGTGCCCGAGAGTTATCAATTGTTGTTTGTGGGAATATTATTTCATTCACTCTAGTAATGATACAATGTTTCTTATTATGTTATCATAGGTAAATGCATGGTTTATATATTTTTGTTTATCACTGTACCCATCACCGTTTTCAAATTATACTACAAGATATGCATTTCTTCCAAACATATTTCGATCGTACACCTGGCAATGGGAGAGAGTGAGTGACCACTAATCATAGCGTCGTCTGCTCTTGTAACTCTCCTCACTCCCTGCAATATTTCACTGGATACACTGTTATTATTAGTGTTTACTGATATAATAATGCTTAATAGTGATTAATCATGGCATTGTAGCCAGGTTAGACTCATCATTGCAACCACCAGGCTACTGGACCAAGGTGTGAAGTGTTATGATTGTTTTCAACTCGCATTTTTGGGTAGATATACAGTATTACCCCGCTTTACACGGTTTCACTTTCCGTGATTTCTCATTTACGCGGTACCTTGCCAGAACCGGACTTTCACTTTCCGCGGTGCATCTACTCATATACGCGGTGAAGTAAAAAAATTTTTTATTTTTTTTTATTTAGCTCATAAAATTCATACAAATTACCCTGCCAGAATATAATTTACATTGCTGAAATTCTTACAATATGATGATCATTTTGAATATAAACATGATGGATTTTGCATTAGACATACAAATTTTAGATCTAATGTAATAATTTGGTTTACACAAAGCAAATATTTTATCGTTTGTGCAAAATATATGAAGTTTACATTCAAAATATTCCCTGACCTGCAAGGAATCTAGAAATGTCAATTATATTATCCTAACTTTAGTCTGGGTTATTATTTATTACTAAAAATGTAAATATACTATTTTCTCCCAATCGCTTCTCTGGTAGGGAGGGAAGGTGGGGTGTGGGGGTTAGAAAGGGAGGGCGGGCGGAGGTGGGGTATTTTGATTGACAGATAGTGTCCTTGAAGAATATTTCTTTGTTTATTTACTGAAGATATTTGTTTTAGCTCATAAAATTCATACACATTACCCGGCCAGAATATAATTTACATTGCTGGAATTCTTACAATATGATGATCATTTTGAATATAAACATGATGGATTTTGCATTAGACATACAAATTTTAGATCTAATGTAATAATTTGGTTTACACAAAGCAAATATTTCATCTTTTGTGCAAAATATATGAAGTTTACATTCAAAATATTCCCTGACCTGCAAGGAATCCAGAAATGTCAATTATATTATCCTAACTTTAGTCTGAGGTATTATTTATTACTAAACGTTAAAATCTAGTTTTTTCACCCAAATATTTCTCTGGTAGGGAGGGAAGGTGGGGGGTGGGGAGGGTTGGGACCAACCGACCCAGCTGGCGTGAGTGTGAGGAGGGGGGGAGGCAAGGTGGGGTACTTTGATTGACAGATAGTGTCGTGAAGAATATTTTTTTTTTATTACCTGAAGATATTTGTTTTAGCTCATAAAATTCATACAAATTACTCGGCCAGAATATAATTTACATTGCTGGAATTCTTACAATATGATGATCATTTTGAATATAAACATCATGGATTTTGCATTAGACATACAAATTTTAGATCTAATGTAATAATTTGGTTTACACAAAGCAAATATTTTATCTTTTGTGCAAAATATATGAAGTTTACATTCAAAATATTCCCTGACCTGCAAGGAATCCAGAAATGTCAATTATATTATCCTAACTTTAGTCTGAGGTATTATTTATTACTAAACGTTAAAATCTAGTGGTTTCACCCAAACACTTCTCAGAGAGGTAGGAGCTAGTGAGCTGGGAAGAGGGGGGGGGGGGATTTGAGTCCATTATTTGAATGGACATTAACCTGGCGACTGTATTTCTCTTAAATATTAATTGTGTGAGCATACCATCATAAAATGAAGATGTTATTTTTACTACAACATAGGTATTGTGTCGGAAAAAGTGGAGTTTGGGGGTCGGGCCAGTCTCTATTGGAATTAATCCCATATGTTCTGTTGTTCACTTTACGTGGTACCCTGTGGGTTCAATTGGCCGCGTAAATCGGGTACTACTGTATGTAACTTTCTTCATTTAATTTTACTAGGGTTACGTGCACACACCATCCTACATACATATTGTGAAAAAAAAAGAAGATATAATTGTCCTGAGGGCAAACACGTAAAGGAATACAGTATACATTTATTTGCACACGAGTTAGGAGGCTGAGTGAGGGAGGGAAGGATGGTTGCAGTGTAGGGGTGGGAGACATTGCTAGGGAATCGGCATCCCAGCTGGTCTTTGTTATTATGGTGAAAAAGGGAATGTATGCAAATGGCAACTGTGTTAAACAATCATTTGGCTTTTATTTACTGATTTGGCAATACGTACCTTTAGACTAATTTTGTTGTAACTTATTTATTGCCATTATTTTTATTTAAACTTATTTATTGCTATAATTTTTATTTATTCTTCACATTTCCTGGTACTGTCTACATTATTTTAATTAGACTAATTGCTACAGGCGGAAAATACACAGAAAAGCTTTTACCTAAATATGTATATTAATTTTTTTACATTAATTTTACTACAGCTACAACCAGGGTCTTATTTTCTTCATTTTCTTATGTAGTACCATCGTCCCGGACTCCCGGGTGTAAACACTAGCAAAAACAATGGCGTCCCATCTCCTATTGTGTGACCATATTATTTTTCATTTATATTGTATAAGGTGCATTTATTAAACATTATTTAAAGAATATAGTTTGCATTTGTCATTAATTTTATTGTTTTGGGGGAAAAGTGGGTAGAAAGCCACACAAAAGATATGAAAAGGTCACACTTAAGAACGCACCTCATTATTATTGCTTTATTTTATTGGTAATTAATGATCCACGATACGATTCACGATACACTGCAATAATGGAGGACACATTACCGTCATTATTCGAAGCTTTACTGTATGCACCAGTACACAGTGGCCATGACTTGGAATGAGGACATGTCTGAGGCATGTGGTGCATTTGTAGAAAAGTCACAGTATGAGTAACATTCAAACATGAATTTTTGCTTTAAGCTTGGCAAGATGGCGACAGAAACACACATCATGCTTGTAACATTTATGCAGATGAAGCTGTGAGCATGAAGACTGTTTTCAAGTGGTTTCAATGCTTTCGGGATGGAAATAAGTTGCTGGATGATGAGACAAGAAGTGATTGCCCATCAGCACTCTCATCCAAGCAGACTGACGTCTAACCATTCGTGAAACTGCAGAGGAGACCAGTCATCCATTTGGTTCCATTCAGGTTAGACTGACAGGGAAAAATATTCCTCTCATCACATACCCATCCTATTTGCTTGACTTGACACCTTGTGGCTTCTGGTCACTTTTGCTCTAGCCATCACTCTTAATGACCAACCCCTGTTGCACATAATAGGACCCACCACAGAAAAAAAAAAGTCGGTTCTTGGATCTCCCACTACTTGTTCCATACTGCTATGACATTACTTACTTCACCATGTGAGTGACCTCAGAAATAGTGACAGTGCTCAGTGTGATGTGGGGTTAAAGGGTTGAATGATACTATGTCACTTGTGACATTTTCTTGTTAAAATGACAACACAGGCAGTCCCCGAGTTACGAAAGTCTGTACTTATGACAGGATCTCAATACCCCACTGTACTGTACATTCATCACAAAAATCTGTAATTAAATTTATCGTTTTTACAATACTGTATACTGTTTATCATAATATTATTTACAGAATTTACAGGTGATTACATTATTTATTATGTATGGGATATTACTGTTGTTTCATATGGAGATGGTTGTGTTTTAACTTCTGGAAATAACACTGATCTGACTTACGAACAGATCGATTTACGAACAGGGTCCAGGAATGTAACCCGTTAGTAATTCGGGGACTACCTGTAGTTGGTAATCATGCAGTTATATAGAATTTTCATCTTAGGGTATTTTTGCCCTTTACCTCGGCCATGAAGTCAGTGTGCTAAACACTCGGACTTGGATCAATATAGTTTTCATTATATGCCTAGATGCCTGAATACTTTATTTAGGTGAAAGAATAAAAGAGAGAAGCAGATTCTTAAATTACATGAAAGAATCCATAACTTACTGAGGGAAAGTGGTGGTGGAGGTTGAAGGGGTGAGAGTATACTGCTGCAGACTTGTGGCAGGCTGACCTGTTGGTATAGGCCCAGTTAGCCCTGCACCAGCAGCTGTCACAGGTAACTGGTAGTAGTAGGTAGTGCCACCTGTCTCTTGGCCATTACTCGTTCCCCCTACACTACCACCTGCTGGATATGTCACAACTGTGTATCCTCCAGGAAGATAGCCTCCACCTGAAGGAAAATAAAAAAACATAGACATACAACTAAACACAGAACATACAGATATGCAGTTACAAAAGAGTGTGTGTGTGTGAACTAGCATCCTGCCAAAGGGGTGGGGTTGTCCACGAGCTGCTAAATGCAAGGACTAAGTAGATCAGCACCTGGTTGAGCACCCTGTACCACAGCAAGAAAAAGGCTTCTATAGAAAATAAAAACCAGGAGTGGAATCCCATTTTATAATGAACTAGGATTAGAACACTCATGTACTTCTGCTGATAAGCTTCCATGCTTAAACCCAAAAGCTTTCAGAACCATAACTTGTTTAACTCAATTGCACCCAAGAAATTTTGAAAAGCTATTAAACTAAAGATTCTATCTCTTCGAGTTTGACTTCAGCTCCTATAAATTAGGGATAGCTCTGATGAAACAGCTGCCTGGAGGTGAAAGCTATTATATGCATGCATCCTGCAATCTATGCAGGCTATCAAACAAGTCCTTGGTTCAGCTAACCTTCAGTTCCTATCTTAGCATCCCTTGGAAGGAAGATCCATATCCTCATAAAATTGGAGTTTTGAATAAATTCCTTATATGTAAATGATACATTGGATCAAGTAAATCATATATGGTTAACACATTTGGTATTAAGGAGAGGACAATGGCATGAACTCCATGTAACAGCATAACAATGGTAACATACATATCTCACCCTAAAATGTCAAGGGTTCAAATCCTGCTTGTCCCAGACACACATGAGAAGGGCATTATCCAGTGTAACCCTACCAAACATCACAGGTCTCCTGGAGTCCAGTTTCCTCCTGTACTAACACTGAATGGCTAGTAGCCCCTGGTTTTCTATAAATGATGTATTGATCCTGAAGTCCCATGTTATAACCAAGCCTGGATTGGGTGACTCAAGTTCTTTCCTTTCTTTCTATAAGGGCTGTTAAGGTTTGTTGAAATTGTAGCCAAGCAATGAGGTCATAGGACACATTAGTACTAATACACTGGTGATACAGGTATACCACCGACTTTCCAGGAACTGATGGACGAGCACCGCATTTAGTCCGGACAAAATTACGAGAGGACACTTAACTTCCCTTCCTCCCTGCTATATTTCACTGGATTTTCTGTTATTATTAGTATTTACTGATAAAATAATGCTTAATTGTAATTAATCATGGCATTGTAGTCAGGTAAGACTTGTCACTGCAACCACCAGGCTACTGCGCCAAACTGTGAGTTTTTATGGTTGTTTTTCGACTCGTATTTTCAGGTAGATATACGTAATTTTCCTTATTTATTTTCACTCATGTCCATGCACTCACCATCCTAAATATATATAATACATCTTGTGAAAAAAAGTAAAAGAAATAATTGTCCTAAGGGTAAACCTGTACTCAAATGCACTAAGCTAATTACTAAAATGTTTATGTCTAGTGCAAACTATGAGATGTTTGTACTTAAATTAATCACTATCTTGTAAGACTTCCAGGCATGTGGGTTATATTTTGCTAAGTCAATTCAGTAAAATTTTACAGTAGAAGTCCAAAAATCCGGACTGCTTGGGGATTGGGTCGGTCCAGATTTTCGGATTTTCCGGATTCTCAGGCAGTACTTTTAAAATTCAAATTTCAGGAGAAATAAAGAAGAGATGAACAGGTACATTTTGATAGTTTATTCATTAGCAAATATAGCATGCTTCATTTATCAAAACGAGCAGTTTTAAAAATAAAGCTGTGAATTCTAAAAATTTATTCTTTGCCTTTTTTATATCATAAATTGTAGACTTTCCAATGTCATATGTTTCCATTAGAACAGTATTGCTCACACCACATTCTAGTTTCTTAATTATTTCAAGTTTGTCACTCAATTTCAACATGTTCTTCTTTCTCTTCACACAACGAAGTTTATCTACTTTAGGAACCATTATTATGGACTTGTACAGTATTCTGTAAATGGAAAGAGTACCGGTAGGCCTCAAAATTACATATGTTGTCACAGTTTGATTGCTCGTTTTAAAGTGGCGACCGCATGGTCACTTGTTGTCGCTGTGCAGCTGTGGCGCTCACGCATGCACACATACCGTATATCACGGCCTATAAGACGAAATTTGAACATTAAAAAAATCTGCCCAAAGTTAGGGGGTCGTCTAAACCACCAAGTTTAAAATTCTTACCTCTTAAATATTGTGGTTTAGTGTGTCAAGAGTGGTGATGAAAACATCGTAAGCCACTCACAAGGTCTTACCACTAATTATTTTATACTGAAACTTACGTTTGGCAAGCTGGATTCAAATTAAGATTACCGGTATATTAAAATAATAAAAATGTATTATAAACCTGTCTAACATACCGTAAAAGAGATTTATACCCCTATAATAAACACAGCTATCATCACACACCCCTCCCCACGCCCCCCCCCCCATTTGCCAGTGAGGAGCCGTGGAGGTGGTCAGTAATGCATACCGGTATCGGTATATTTACTCATAATAATATTTATCTCCTATAAGTAATTGATTTAAATTTTATTGTTTTACAAAGAATATTCAGTAAATGAGTGCATTAATTCTTGAAACTATCGACGGTTAATTACAGACGCTCAAGTGACGTCACTAGTGTTTACACTACACCAGCTGGTAATATTTGATGCCATTACTTGAAGTGAATTGGCCTTATTTTAAGTAACTAACTATAAATAAATACAAAAATTAAAAAAAAAGATCAAAACTGAGAAATAATATACTGTATGTATGTTGTGTTGTCAAAGTAAGAGGAACAATTGTGTAAGTACGTAATATTTTTTCACTCAAATCCTAATGAAACACTACTGGAGAACATTCCTTTGTCGCAAAACAGTTTATAAATTAAAGAAAATAATTACAGTGTGTTTAATATATTACAGTATATTATAAATAAATAAATAAAACAAATAATTCGGTAAATCTATTTAAAGTAAATGGAAAATAAGCAAACATGTTATTTACCAAGACCCTTCCGTCTGGCTCAGGGTGAGATGGAGGGGAGATAACAAAGCTATTTATAGCCCATCAGAAGTGACCAGTACCCTAATGCACCATAAATAATTCATTGAACATTCATTTTTTGTACATAGTATATTCAGTATATATATATATATATATATATATATATATATATATATATATATATATATATATATATATATATATATATATATATATATATATATATATATATATATATATATATATATATATATATATATGTGTAATAAATGTATGTAGTAAGTACATACTGGTAACCTTTTTCACTCAAATCCTAATGAAACACCACAATTAGAATACGGTGGTTGCTGTTGAACCACATGTTGTATAAATAGTCACACCACCGAGACGAGGGAACACTCCCACCACGCTTCAGTGACGTCACTAGTGTTTACACTACACCAGCGGGTATAATTTGATGACATTACTTGAAGTGAATTGGCCTTATTTTAAAAAATCAAGGATGGTTGGTAAAGGACTACTGAGTCAGTGGGTAAGTGTCACATTTGGGGTACTGGTCTTATACAGCAAATAGAGCTCAAAAGCTACTTTTTAAATGGAAATTTGGGGGGGGCGTCTTATGCACCCCGCCGCCTTATAGGCCGTGATATACGGTACACATAAAAGCCAGCTAAAAAAAAAATAAAATAAAATAAATGTTAAGTTTGAGTTTTCGAAAAGTCCGGATTCTCGGGTGGTCCGGATTTCTGGCATCCGGATTTTTGGACTTTTAATAAGCACAAAACTTAAACTCTTTCTATTTGACTGATAACTACGCACTTAGTTATCTCCCCGCTGGCTGTCAACACATCACCCCCCTCCTCCCAGACAGGGTGAAGGTAGTTTTAGGCCTAAAGTTTTTATCTTATAAAATGTCACTGACTAGACTTAGCAGAATATAACTTGCATTGCTGGAATCCTTGTAAGACAGTGATTAATTTGAGTGTAAATATTACATAGTTTGCACAAGAGATGGAAATGTTAGTCCTTTAGTGTACAGTAGTACATTAGAGTACAAAGTGTGTACAGTAATATGTGGCTTTGCACATTTAATTTACATTTAATATTTGTTTAATTTAAGTTTCTAGCAGTCCATTGTGCTTTAGAGACACAGAACTTATATAATTAGTGGGTCAGAGGTGTATTGTTGAACTACTATTATGTGACCTCGATCGGTCCGGCAAAACAGATAATCCTGCAAGGCTTTGGAACCAAGGGTGCCGGAAAATCGGTGGTGTACCTGTAGTCACTACCTTCAACTTTTGTTCCTATGTTTTATATCCATCAGGCATCTTTTGGAGACCAATATATGAAGGGAAGATTAATTTTTGGAATAATTCTAGTAATGAGCTGGATTGTCAGAACCAAGGGCTTTAAATTGTAAACTTGTCTGGCTGTATGTGAGTTGCCAGAGCAAAATAAAGAAGATAAAACAAGAAATGCATAAAACCACATGTTATTCACAAAGATGCAATATCCATTCATCTATCCCAGATCAAATTTTACAAAATAAATTCCATAAGAAATTAACTTTAGTAAACAATTGGTTTGTGTAATTGCAAACCGTCATGTGAATGTTTTACCTTGGGGAAGTGCAGGGTTGTGGTCCATGGATGGATGATGGGCAGTGGGTGGAACTGGTGCTGCAGGAACAGCTCCAGCCACAGCAGGAACTGCTGGAACAGCAGGCATGCCTTGCACCTGTTGCATACCTGCAGCTTGAACTCCAGTTGGGGCCTGGACACCTGCTGGGGTTGCCTGTACTGGAGCCATTTGGTACTGAGGGTAGACATATTTGAGGGACCCACTCATATTGCCTACATTTCCAGATGGCATGTAGTACACAGGCTGTAATTTAATGTAAAAAAAATAGAATACACATCTAAGAGAAACACACACACACACACAGAGGCACATATATACAAAGTAATATCTCATTAATCGGAATACCTCAAAACCGGATTTGTCTGATAGCCAAAATCAAAATTTTCCAAGGAGCACATTTTCTTGAAAATTCCAAGAAAATTTTCCCAGTACCCGGGTAATTCCAGGGATGGGGGATATTTTTCTGGGTTTGAGAGATGATGTAATGCGCAATTTCTGGACTTCCGTTAGCCGGAAAAGTTGGTGCAGAGCACTTCTAGGAATGAGAGATTTCCAGGTAAGGAGATGAATCTCTCAAAGCTAGAAAAAAAATCCCTCATCCCCAGAATTTTCTGGGTAAAGGAAAAATATTCTCAGGAGTTCCAGAAATTGGGCATTATATCATCTCTCAAACCTGGAAAAATATCCTCCATTCCCAGAATTTTCCAGGTACGTACCAGAAAATTTGTCTGAATTTTCGGAAAATGCACCTAATTTTCATCTCACAAACCGGGAAAAAACTTCCCTTTTCCTGAATTTTCAGGGGATCAAGAAATTTTTTCCGAATTTTCCGGAAAATGTGCCCCTCAGAAAATCATTCCCAAAGCTGGAATTTTCAGAAAAATTACAGTTTTGGGAATGAGTTTCCGAAAAATTTAAATTCTGGCTATCGGAGATATTAACCCTTAGGCCCCAGGTGACGTTCCAGAACATACGCCTATTCCCGCCAATTTTTTTTTTTTTTAATAATTATTTTTGGAAAAGTTGATTTTTCTTGAATTATCCCCGCATGGGGAGGGGTGGGGGTGGGGGTGGGGGGGGGTGTACTGCCAGCAGCACCCTAACCCGGGGCTTAAGGATTAATGTGTGTGTGTGTGTGTGTGTGTATATAGGATTGATTTACAGAGGTTTTTCAGGAACAGTGAGGGATACCTGTATCCCATTACACAAACAAGCACATTAGCACATATGTAGTACCTGTACAGTACAATACTGTAAAACAAAAGACTTCAAAACAACATGATTGGATTATAAATAAACTGTACTGACACTCTTTATACCTTATAAGCTAGGAATTATACAATATATTATAGTTTTACAAATATCACTGTCATTTTATAACTAAGTTACCTGTGTATAGTGCTGTCTAGGAACAACATAACTCTGGGGAACAGGAGCAGCTGGTGCTGGCACTGCTGTAAGATCACTGCCACTGTCCCCCCCACTGCTTGGCCCACTTAAACATAAGCCTCGCATTTGGTTCGTAACCTCATTTGCATGTCCCTCCTGCAAGTGATGTATAGATTATGGCTCCACTATTGTAGATAGGTACATGAGTGATGTGAAGGAAGATACTGTTACAGAATAAGACTGAAAATGAACTGTACAGGTGAGGGGAATCAATGTGGATAGGCCTAAGGAGATGCATTAGGACACTGTAGGTTTTATTACAATAAATACTGAATAATCAATATTAATGTTCAAGCCCCAATAGTTAACAAGTATCATAACAAAATCAGAATTTCACTTCCGTCTGTCCTGAACTTGCCTGAGAGTATGATCTGGACTCTATCTGGTAATACTGTGGGTAGATTACTTGTGGTGCCTGCTGTACAACACCTTCATTTGTTCCTCCATTACCTGTTCCAGTGCTGCCTTCTGTTTCTCTCACTTCTCCATTGTTTGATACACCACCACTCACCACATCTGAAATAAAATACTGACATCAGATTTGGTGACACTAAAATAATGACTTAAAAAATCAACAAAACAAAATAAGGGACTGATCTTAAAATACTGAAAAGATGGTCACTGGGGTATGGTGGTCATTTAAGCAAGGATGTCACTACATATACCCTTGTTAAATCGGATTTCAGCTGAATTCATAATTTTTTTTTTATGAAATAAATGATTTCAATTCGGAATGAATCTAAAATAATTAAGTGGTTCCGAAAAGTTGATTATTATAATAAGAATATACTATGAAATAGATTAAGACGAATGAATTATAGGAATAGAATTTGAATTACAGTACAGTCAGTTCTGCTATAATGCGATAGTTGTGTTCTTGTAAAATATCGTGTTATAGAAAATCGCGTAATAGAAATAATAGGGCTTATGGAGAAAATAGGGTTAGGTGCAGATTACTACTCGAAATCGAAAAAAAAATTAGTAGTTAGCCTAACACAAAGGATAGCACAGTCTAAATAAATGTTACATTCATATCTAATAATGAAATCATACAGTAAATGTAACCCTTTACCTTGAAAAAATATGAATATAACTTGATGGGGGAGAAGGGTGATTTTGAGGTTGATAACATCGAGCTTCTCTTCAAGTGTTATATCCTTTCTTTTACGATCATCACCAGGAATTCAATCACTAGAACGCTTCTTGGAGATATTCTTCTTTACCATATTCACAGTTAATACCACAAAGTTGGAGAAATAGTAAGCAAAAATCGCGTTACAGCAAACAAGCGTTCGCGTTATACAAATATCGTTCCTCTATTCATAAATCGCGTTAGAGCAAATTCGCGTTATCAAAACACGCGTTATAGCAGAACTCACTGTATTTTAAGATACTTGGGCTACATTTGGCATGTACAGTAGCTGGGAGAGGTGATGGAGGGAGGGAGGGAGGACAACTCACCGCCTCCTGCTCTGCAGTCCGTTATCCCTCTATAACAACAGTATGCAGTTCACCATAACTCTCATATTATTTAGGTTCATTTGGTGCCGAGTTACTAAAACATCTTATGGGGAAATTAGGATATGTTCCAAAACTACTAAAAGTCAACGGTAATGTTATAAAACTTGTGGAAAAATCATCACAATACTCTAATGTGGGTTAGAAATAAAGAAAATATAATATACTGTAAAACTATAAACCAAGACATATGAAGAGCATTGGTGTTTGTGTGGAAAGTGAAAGTGTGTGGAGTGGCTGACTTATCACTCCATCCGTGTCCCGTGACATCACATACAGTGCAGTAAAAACGAAAACAAACACACATACACACACTGTGTCACATTTCACAACCGTTTCTGGAGCATTAATGCTATAAAAGTTGTAGAGAAATATTCAAAATACTCTAATGTGACTTAAAAATAGATATTATAGCATATAACTATAAAATAAGAAAAAATAAAGAACATGGGTGTCTGTGGGTGGGTGGAAAGTGAGGTACACGTGTATGTGTGGTGGCGGCTGTGGCTTTGAGCCGCCTGATAACTGAGCAGCCCTCCCTCCCTTAATGTGACATAACATACACACACACATCATTTATATAGAAGTTCGGTGTTAATACAGTAAAACAAAAAATACAGTACCTGTACTGTATTTCAAGGCAGGTAGTATTTAGGAAAATCTTTTATGTGTATTTTCCTCCTGTAGCCAAAGTTTTCTTAAAATAATATACAGTGGTCCCTCAGTTAAAGAACGGTTCGGTTAACGAAATTCTTACGACAAACACTTTTTGTTGTGAGCATCAGCTGATCAACTGATCGGCTAGTCCACCAATACAGTAATCGGTTCTATGTTACATTCGTTTCCAGTGGAGTAAATATCAAGAAGGTTGTGCTCTTTAATATTTTTGCATTTTTTATATTAAAATTATTATTAATTTTAAAATTTGGTTAATATATTGATAATATATGCAGTACAGGGAACTAGTTTTTTGAGCGCCCATCAGCCACTTGACTCAGCCACCAGGAATCAGTTTAACTTTGTTTACAGTGGAGGAACATCATGTTTGTTGCTCTCTTGAATATTTTTGCATTTTTACATTAAAATTATTGGTCATTCTGAAATTTAGTTAATTTATTGATAATATATAGCACAGTGCAGTGTTGATTTAAATAAAATTATCTGTAATTACAGCTAGTGAACTTAAAATTTTATTGGTGAAATTACTGCTTCAAGCATGGTTCAAAGTTAAGCGATTTCTCCTCCACCCCCACTTCCTTCTCTTCTCCCTTCTCCTCCTCCACCCCCCACTTCTAATTCCCATCATCATCATCATCAACCAGCAATATTCTACATACACACCTCAAAGTAACTGTACTTTACTGCATTTTGTTTATACTTTGTATGTACTTTTCTGTGAGCTGGGACCAATTATTCAATATCCCATTCAAATCATTGATTCGGTTAACGAACAACTCTGTGGAACGAATTGTGTTCGTTAACCGAGGAACCACTGCAAATAGTAATAAGAAATGTGAGGAATAAATAAAAATAATACCAACAAAAATAATATACAGTGGTCCCTCGGTTAACGAACACAATTCGTTCCACAGAGTCATTTGTAAACCGAAAATTTTGTTAACCGAATCCATTATTTCAATGGGATATTGGGTAATTGGTTCCAGCTCACAGAAAAGTACATACAAAGTAAAGCCAAAAAATGCATAAAGTCAGAAACACTCCTAAAATTCCCCTAAATCGCCCTTAAATCACTATACAGTACTGTCCAGTATATATACGTACATATACACTATAACTCTTAAATCACTACAGTTGTCCCTCGGTTAACGAACGGTTCTGTTAATGAAAATTCGGTTAACGAATTACCTTCCATAAGAATCTTCAATTCGGTTAACGAAAAAAATTTTATTGGCGAAATCCTTACGACAACATGTTTTGGCTTGCGCATCGGCTGGTAGGCTAGTCCGCCAATACAGTAATCGGTTCTAGGCTTACATTCGTTTCCATTGGAGTAAATATCAAGAAGGTTGTGCTCATAATACTTTTGCAACTTTTATATTAAAATTATTAGTAATTTTAACATTTATTTAACATAATTTATAATATATGCAGTACAGGGAACTAGTTTTTGGTGCACCCATCAGCCACTTCACTCACCCACCAAGGCGTCTGTTTAACTCTCTGTACAGTGGAGGAAACATCTTGCTTGTGGGTCTCTTGAACACAGAGTATTTTTAAGTTTTTACATTACTACACTTATAGGGCATTCTGAAATTTGTTTAACATAATGATAATATATAGTGCAGTGCAGTGTTGATTTAAATAAAATAATCTTTAATTACAGCTAGTGAACTTAAGATTTTAGTGGTGAAATTACTGCATTGAATCCAGCATGGGTCCAAAGAAATCTAGAAAGGCAAATTCAATTCAAGTGAAACAGGAAATTATTAAGAACATGAAGAAGGCATTAGAACAAATGTACTAAGTAAAGAATATGGCATGTCGGCATCAACTGTGTCGACAATTCTTACACAGAAAGAAAAATTTAAAGAAGTGAAAGTGAGAGATAAATCTACCAGAGTGTTCAAAGGTAGATCACTAATTGCAGAAACAGAGAGGTTACTTCTTATTTGGATTAAAGAAAAACAAATGAAAGGGGATTCAATTTCTACGGAATTTATTTGTGAAAGAGCCAGGGAAATATACAAACATTTGAAGGAAGATCAACCTAGTTCTTCTGAAACTGATTTTGAAGAGTTTAGGGCCAGCAAGGGCTGGTTCGATAAATTTAAGAAAAGAAGTGACATTTTTAGTGTTGTAAGGCATGGTGAAGCTGCCAGTGCAGATAAAGAAGGAGCAGCAAAATTTGTAGTGGAGTTCAAGGAACTGATGGATGAAGAAAATTATCTTCCACAGCAAGTGTTCAATGTGGATGAAACTGGGCTGTTCTGGAAAAAGATGCCCAAAAGGACATTCATCACCAGAGATGAACCCTCTTTACCTGGGCATAAACCCATGAAAGACCATCTCACTCTATTGCTTGGTGCCAATGTTTCAGGGGATTTCCGACTGAAGCCTATGCTTGTATACCACTCTGAGAACCCCAGGGTGTTCAAGCAACAAAAGGTGGTAAGAGGACAACTTGGGGTTTATTGGAAGTCCAACCGTAAGGCATGGGTAACGAGACAGCTCTTTAACGAATGGGCAGTTGAGGTGTTTTGCCTTTCTGTGAAGAGTTACCTAACCACCAATAAACTTCCTTTAAAGGCTCTTCTCCTTCTGGATAATGCCCCTGGTCATGACCCTGAACTTGCCAGCACTTTGGAGGCTCGATTTGACTTTGTCAAAGTGTTGTTTTTGCCTCCCAACACTACATCAATTATGCAGCCAATGGACCAGAATGTAATCAGCAACTTCAAGAAGCTGTACATGAAGAAAATGTTCAGAAGGTGTCATTAGCCAACTTCCATTGATCCTGATCTAACACTGACACAGTTCTGGAAGACGCAATACAACATCCTGGGGGCTGTAAAATTGATGGTGTCATCATGGCAAGAAGTCTCCATTCGATCCCTGGATTCTGCATGGAAGGCACTGTGGCCAACAGTCCATAATTGTGAGGGATTTGAGGAAGAAACAGAGTTGGACAAGGAGATTGTGTCCATTGGTCAGGCAATGGAACTCGAAGTGGAGGAGGAGGATGTTGAAGAGCTTGTGATGTCTCATGAGGACAAAGTGGTCTCCTTCAAGAACCAGCTAATGATCAGGAGGAGAAATGCCCCAAAACCAAAAATTGACAGTTTCTTCTCTAACAGGCAGTGGGAGAAAGATGCTTCCCCTCAGCCTTCCACTTCAAAAAGAAGAGAGGATTTTCCTGTTGGAGAATCTGTCAGTCTATAGGTTCCTGACATTATTATAGAAGGTGACTCACCTTCCAAGAAGGATTAAAATGCTTCTCCTCCACCCCCAATTCCTTCTCTTCTCCCTTCTCCTCCTCC